GATGACCATGGAACAGACTAGTGGTACATAACACAATGATTGGACATCATTTCGTACTTTAAGATCATTAATGAGTTTCACTGCTAGTTGTGAGTCCTTACTGCTTTGAGTAGTTGTGAAAGGTTTAGATAACAAGGATGCAAATCTATTTTCATCAATGAGTTCTTGTGCTAGCTTTGTATCTTTTTGAAGTGTTTGTATAATTACTGTTGATATTTCTTCCTTAGAAAACCCAATGATCTGAACATGTCTACTGAGAGTATCCATTTTCAAAAGTGAAGAGGAGGCATAGCTACGAGAGGTAACAATTACTGAACATTGGTCTAACTCCTTTCTATGAATGATACTAGCAGCTAATGAAGACTGTCTGAGTTGCTCACTTAGTTCATCCCAACCATCAAACATTATCAGTAATCCTTTTCCATTTCTGTCTATCAGCCAATCAACTACTTTTGAAAGTTTGGAACTTTTATATTCAAACAGGTCAGCTAGTGTAGTAGCTGTAGCTATCTTGCTATTCCTTAAAGGACAGTAAAGTACCAAGTCATACTGTTGGTGTACAAGTGGTCCATTAGACCACATATTTAACAGTTTACGACAGAGTGTGGTCTTCCCAATACCAGGAGGACCGTCTATTACTACTCTGAGAGTCAGAGAATTATCTGTGGGTTGGAGGACGTCTTTAACACTTATCTCTTTGTTTCCAGTTAGTTTAACTGTTTTATCAACTTGTCCTCTTAGCAGATGCCAAGCTGATTCTGCTTGTGTGCTGGAGTCTTGTTTTTCTACTAGTGCTAGTCTTCCATAGTAATCTTTTCCAATTCTTGGTGGCCAGTCTGTAGCAACAATAGGTTGGTGTTTGTAGTGTTGTCTCATATTGTCAGCATATCCTTGAACATCATACGGTAGCTTTTCAAATGTAGTTCGTATTTTGTCACGGATTTTCCCAAATATACTTGTGCTAGTGACATTACCAGTAGCAGCTGTAGCACCTACATGCACAAAGTATAATTTTAATATAAATATACATTTAATGTATATTTAATTATTTAATGTATACACATTAAATAATTTATTACCTCTTATATTAGTAACTGGTGTATTGGATATATCATCAACTGGTGATGGTAGTACAGTATGTGAACTGACATTATCAGGTATAGACTGACCTAATGTATTGAGATATAATGACTATATTGATCACTGATAATGTACACACACACACTCACCTAACTGGTGTAATATAGAGGTAGCAATATCTGTTAGTGTACGATGTTGTTGGTTTATTAATACATGACATATATCAATAAGATACTGCTCTGGATTAAGAGAACCTTCCAACTGTTTCTCAATGACATTCATAAGGTTGGCAGCTTTAGTATAATTATCAACTGCTGGTACAAGCATTTCCTGTTTAGTTTGTTGTGGTATCAGTTCTTTAGCATACAGTGTATATGCTGTTCTTGGAATGTCAATAGAAATACTATCAACAAGTTTAACAGAATGAGTCCTTAATATATCCTTTGGATTACCTGCAGTAGTGTATCAGTTAATGAGTGTTGTATTAAGTGTATGTTTACCTGATGTAGTATCAGTAACAGGTTTATTAATTACAGAAACTGATGATGATACAGTAGATACTACTGGTACAGTACTAGTAGGAGCATCAGCATTACCTATTATACATTTATTATAATAATTAATATATAAATACATGATCATACCTCCTGTACATTGATGTACTTGTAACTGATCATTAATAGTTTGTAATAAATTGATCTCTTCTCTTTTAGTCAATGCATTGAGTACATCTCTCCATGTTGCTGTAGGATTTGTGTTCAACCATTTTGTAAATAAAGCTAATTTTTGATGTTCAGTATCCACTTTTTCAATTATAGTAATATCTTGTTGTGTTATTCCAGGTAAGAGAAGACCAAATGATTGCCAGTCAACAAGTGGTTCAAGCCATTGAAGTAATAGGAAAATATCAGGTTGATCATCAATCATAGGACCAGGATTGAGTTCAACATCTCCTGATAAGAGGAGGAGCATACGTAGACAAACAATCAAATAGAGATCATTGTAAATCAGGTTAGAACTCCTGCCTCCAGCTAACACTACTGACTGGAGGTAATTTGTATCAGTAACAGTAACACCAGTAGTACATTGTACTTGGTAGCAGTTACCTAATAATAAAATACCAGTAAATATACAAGTACAAAGTTGCAATTGTTGTTTACCTGTTGGGGGAATCATCAAGATGTGTCTTAATAAAGAGAGAGAGAGAAAGAGGAGGATGAGTAAAGCAATAAGAGACAGAGCTGCTGGCAGTTTAGATGTCTTCTCTCCTGATGTAGTACTGCCTGACTTGCTGTCTACTGCAGCTTTGAATGAGTGAGAGTGGCGGCCATTAGCTGGTCTACTGGAGGCAGCTTGACAGTAGTTCCACAGTCCAATACTTGCTCTCCATTGAGACACATCAATCATCTTGTATAGTTATACTGGATTACTTGTCACTAATGGTAAAGAGTAGAATAGAAGTGAGTGTATCTGTACCTGAACTTCGTTGAATTATTATTCATGGATCATTGACACTTTGCTATGAGAAGTGTCTTATCAGGGACTACTCCTCCACTACAGTTAATATTGTCACTACTGATAGTAGAACCTACTTTGACTAAATTTGGTCATTTTACAGATCTAAAGCTAATGGTTTATGATTGAGCAGATCATAAAATGTACTGCAAAATATATAACTATAAATTGAACTCACATTTGAATTAATATCAGGTACTAACAATAGACATCAATCATCTTGTAATTATTAGTAAAGTATAATTAAAATGAACTATAATATACTTACCTCTATCACTGTTAATGATCAACTCTTGTAAGATAAAGAAATGAAAAGATACAGTCAATATAAAGAAGAACAAGTTACAAGCCAATTGTGCTGAAGTTGCAAGCTCCTCCTTCCTTATCAAAACCACACCCACTTATCACAGGTCAATTTTGTCTGCTTTGTTTCTTTACCTACTTTCAACTTATTGTTGAGGTAAAAGTTACTAATTTTAATGCTAGCTATACAGCTTAGGAATAGTAATAGGAATTCATTTATGTATAATAAAATCAAACAGCTGACAATTTCAAATAATAATCAAGTAATAATAATAACAACAACAATAATAATAATAATAATAAGTCAAGCACTATATATTAGTTCCAGCCAGCACTCCCTCCCTCTCCTCCATTATTCCAATCAGTC